CATCCTAAACCTAAAATATGTAGAGTTTGTATCATAAATATTCCGAATTTCGAATCGGATACAAGCGTATCCAATCTTTGGATATTTAACTTAAATTTGTTCAATATTCATTCTACGTCGCCTTTTAGTGAGGCTAATTACCCTTGTCTAATGGAGTGTAACCCACCTTTGTCAATATAAATGCGGAAATAACCTACTTACTTAAGGGGCCCACCAGATTCAAATGCGGAACGAACCTACCCATTTATGGCCCTAGGGTCATTATCTGCGGAACTAACCTACCACCGTTGTTTGATATTTGAGGCGAAAGATTGCTGAACAAATTACCCAAGAATGCCGTCCTACCTGTTTGCCATCTGAGGACCAAAAATGTCGCGACTTCACTTCTATAATGACAAAATGGTGAGTGATTTAACGTCTTTAGGACTTTTAATTGCTGAAACTTTAATGGTTATTTCTTTTTAATAAAAAGGCACTTAAATAAATAATTTTATGGTAACTTGTCTAATGGGGTATTGTAAATAATACTGATTCAATTAGTATTTTAGTCACGTAATTCCTTTTTTAACATGTGTATCTCTGTAAAAAATGTTATTTGGTTCTCTGCATTGTTTGTTGAGTGTTCCGTTTCCGATCCATAGAAGATCAGCGTTTTATAGAAGGAAAAGTTAATTGTAGTGTTATCGTAAGTGTTCCCCCTTTTCTCTATTATTATATTTTATTGTGTGTAATTAATTTAATTACTCTCTTAAATAGGTAATTTTCTTCCGAGTTTAACGCTAATGCTGTAATTTCTGATAAAATTTATTTTATTTTTTATGGGAAGTTTATTTTTTAGACTAAGCAACTAGGTAATTTGCTAAAGCAGGTAGTTTTTTGTCGTCTGTATTAATTCATTTTCTTGCGGTTTATCTTAGGCTTTTATAAAAAATGTACCAAATTAATGTAACTTTAAGGGAATTAAATATTCCTCATATTAGGAAATACGTGTTTATGAAGGTCTAACCCAAGTGCAATGTACAATGAACAACAAAAATGTTAGATACCGTACTGTTCTATATTTTAAAAACTTTTAGCAACATATTCTTTTTAATTGTATGTTGTAAAGCTAATTGACTATAATTACCGTATGACTATGTGATACGTGTAACGTTATCTACTCAAGGTCTCGTCGTTATCAGCTCGTTGTGTTAGAGGGCGGGAGGAGGGAGGGTTGACGAAGATTGATAACACATGTCACTCGTGATAACAGGTTACAAACCTGGAGAGGTTACTCAAAATTTAGCCTCTCGTCACCTCAAATGGATGTGGTTTTGGCAACCGCAGAAATTACTTTATTGGATTAATAGTGTTCGTTATCATTTACAACAAAAACTCTACGCTTAAGTTATTACGCTTACTACTTGAAGTAGGGCAAAAGGGTTGTGTCATAACTGGCAATGAGTTAAGGATTAGTATGAAATTAACTAAAACGACAAATCAAATATTGAATGGTTTGTGAAGAAATGTGAAAAAAACCTTTGAGGTTTGAGTTTTTTAATCAAATCCATCTTTGTTCGGTAGTAAAAATGTCCCTTGTTTTGGAGATATGTGTTGGGTAATTTATGAAAAACAATTAACTTATTTTATGTAACTTGTGTCCTCGGAAATTATTTTGAAAGTTTTTCGATTCATTTACTCTATTGAATTGCGATAGGTTTTATAAAGTGCAGTCAAAGTTCGTAGCTCCTCCCAAGAGAAATGTTTCTGTATTGGAATTATCCTATAGGAAAAGTCATACGATTATTGTTTGTGATCACGGTATGGGACAAGTACCCAACTTATATTCGACGTTGAAGTATTAACATTTACTGTACTGAATTCCTACAATAGATCTACAGTGGAAGTCAAAGTTCGTACCTCCCAAGAGAAATGTTTCTGTATTGGAACTATCCTATAGGAAAAGTCATACGATTATTGTTTGTGATCACGGTATGGGACAAGTACCCAACTTATATTCGACGTTGAAGTATTAACATTTACTGTACTGAATTCCTACAATAGATCTACAGTGGAAGTCAAAGTTCGTACCTCCCAAGAGAAATGTTTCTGTATTGGAACTATCCTATAGGAAAAGTCATACGATTATTGTTTGTGATCACGGTATGGGACAAGTCAAGTACCCAACTTATATTCGACGTTGAAGTATTAACATTTACTGTACTGAATTCCTACAATACAGTGGAAGTATTTACATATGAACAGGTGAAACTAAAATATCCTTAGAAAGGACGCAAACGCGTTCAAATTTAAAAGATTTTTCAACGCTTTTACAAATTCTTCCACAAGAAATAGGAAAAACATTCATGTTCTTCCACAGTGAAATGTGCGCACGTGTCACTAGTCTGTTGCTAAAGTCTGATGAAGCAACAAACAGGATTCATACAGGGTACAGCTTCACGTGTGCGCTTGTGTGTGTGCGTTGTAAGAGTGGACAACTCTATTACTGTATCACGTAATAGAAGTGTAGCGATCCAAGGTTGTGACGTCACCCAGTCAGCTGATTGACCTCTGCCGATGGAAGACTGACCTTGGGCAACTAGGCCTAGATCAGCTGTCAAGCGATGAGAAGATTTGCAGTACAGTAGACAGACAGAGATAATTTGTATTGTGCACTCGTTTTAATGTGAAGACACATTATCAGGGATCAGTCTACTATTTGCAAATCATATTTTACTGATTATTTCAAGGTCACCGTAGGAGAAACTGGTTCTGCCTTGAAGTTTGAAGGTAAAAAAATAGGTATGGAATTATTAGGAATTTACAAATACACTGGCTAGTACCTTTTTGACTATGAATAGAATAAGAAATTCCATTCTCATGTTAAAGTTGAGACGAGGGCCGCCATTGTTGAAATGTATCCTATGCAAATGAAGATGTCTAACCTAACGAACCTAACCTAACCCTGCGGATAGGGTGGAGGGCATATTTTGATAGTGACCACACTTTTCTTGAAAACATCTCCAACTTATCGAGTTTAAGAATAAAACAAATAATCTACTGTCTGTTTCTTACCCCTAATCAAAGTGAAAATACGACTTATTGTAGTTAAATTAAACATTGAAAGATACACATTGACAATAACAGCACAATTAAGGAGCCCACATAATTGCCATGTTTTTCAAGTGAGGCAATCAAAGGCACGTTCGTCTGCGAGGGACAGCCATGACGTCATTATCACGTGACTAATCAGCTGTCTTTGATGTGGACATAACCTCAATATCATCAGGTGACAGATGTCTCATTGTCACAAACATGCCGTTATCTCGTGTGGTGACTCATAATTTCAAGGTTATTCTATTGTATCATGTCTATTTTACTTATATTTTATTTATATATTTTACTTGTATTCTTTCTTAGATTTACGATATTTTCATTTAGTACAGAACTTTTTGCTAACAGGAACAGACAGTGCACATTGTATATGTGCAAAGACTAGTGCACAAAATATTTGGTTTATTTGAGTTTTTAAACATCGTTACAAGAAGGCAGACAAGTTACATGATTTTGTAACATAAATTGGAGATCCGAGTGGTTTTCGTTCATAAAGCATTTTAAGAGCTACAACTATTTCAAATAATAGAAAAATTAGCTGCAGAATGTTTAATTTTAACCTGGACTAACCAAGTAATGGCTACATTTTCATGAATTTTATTTATTATCATCACTGTAGAATATGTCTGTAGAAATATTATCAACCTTTTAAATTCTAGTTTACATTAAATGTTACCACCCAGTGACTCGTGTACACGTATCGATTGCTTTGGTAAATTGAATAGCGAAATTAATAAATTGTAACCTAACGAAAAGATCTTTCATAAAAGATCTTTAGGCAAGGTATCCAGATAGTCCTGTCAATTTCAAAGATCAATACGATATACTTTAATTTGACCACAAGTCTTCAGAAGACTTTTAACCTTACGATCATATAACAGTTTCCAACCTCGCATCATCATGTATCATCAGACACCGTTAGAGGTGTGATGATAGCCCAAGATGCCCGTGTGAGTGATGATGATGATAGCGATGACGTGTACGATGAGATGATACAACGGTTCCCGCATACCTGCAGAATGTGCGGGTTAACCTTTCTACGCTCACTTGGAAACCGCTTTGCAATCTTCATTATTCATTACTCGGCTAGCATGTCAAGAACCTTAGCGCACTCACACATGACGGGCCACCGGGATTGCGCCACTAGGGCCAGGTAGACATCGGCAAATCGCCATTGGCAAATCAACCCCCCAAACGCACCGTTGATGGTTGCGCCATGCGGCATTTCTTCAAGTTCAGAAAATACTTCAAGTTCTAGTTTTCTCCCTTCATCATCGGGTTAGGTTAGGTTAGGTTAGTTTATATTCCATCTTCTGCCCAATTACCCGGCTACCTGGGGTAGCGTTGGCGCAATCCCGGTGCGTGCAAGGCTGACCCTTTTTAACCCTCACATAACTGGCGCAATCCCGTTCTACCCACTCATGACTGAGAGTTTGCAATAGGGCTACTGAGAGGGCTGTATACAGGAATGACGTCCGAGGTAGCATAAGTTCAACTAATGCAGCCACTATTTGTTTACAATCCTTTAAGATCGGTACAGTAACCTATATAATCTACTAGCTGGCCCGACAGACGTCGTCCTGTCCTGATGTGGTTTTATGTCAAATGCTCGTTCATTTTCAAGATGAGCTCGTTCGCATGGCTTAATCACGTCCTGGTTGAAGTTCGTTCGCTACGCTCACTCACCTTTAGGTTGGAGCTCGTTCGCTGAGCTCACTTGCCTTCAGTTACATTTGACAACAAATTAATTTGTTATGCATAGATTTGTTTTTAAAAATTAGGTTATCATTACAACAGCTGTTTCCTTGATTTAATTTAATCATTAAATGATTTAATCTAGAAATGACAAACATGGCATGGTAAACAAAATAAAACATTCTTCCATAATATTAACATGTAAACTGCAAAGGGCCATAGGACGCTTCCCTTAAGGGTTTTTGAAACGGAAACAGGCTATTATGTTATTCTAGTACCTAAGGAGTATCCCTGTAAATTTTCATGCCAATTGGTTCAGTAGTTTTCTAGTTATAAACGCTGTAATTAACACAACTTTCTTTTATATACTGTATTAAGATTTTATTATTGTGTATTTTATTTAACCCGGGCAATGCAGGGGTTTGCTGCTGGTTTGTAATAAAAAAATCAACTATTTAATATAACTCGAAAATACTAGGTACTATACTACGTTTTTTCATCAGTTGTGGGATTTCCTTCTGCCTCTTCTGGTTTTTCATCATCTGGTATCTTTACTGCTCTGACCTTCTCCTCGTCAACGTCCTCAGTATAACCGTATTCCTTCTTGATCTCCTCTGGAGTCTTTGTCTTGATCACCGCTCTTTGCTCTTCCAATATAGCTTCCATCTCATTATCAATCCACGAGTCCCTCTCTTCCAGTTCTTTCAAAGATTCTTTTAATATCTCCTCGGCTTCTTGATCCCTCTCGGCTTCGGCAGCGCGCTCTTCCTCGGTATACATAAAGTCGGCCACCTACAAAACAAGTGATCATGTACTCGATTCTGTAAAATTTTGACCATTTAAATTATCACCAGTTTTGAGGTTCTAGTACGGGTCAGATGCCGAGAAAGAGCTTATTTAGACCTAAATATATTTAATCTTCTGTTTATGATCAAATGAAAAGTGTGGCCACAGATTTAGCGGATAGTAAAATTCTCGTGAATGCAGCAGTCGTTCGAAAAGAGATATAAAATCAGTGTACTTTTTCTGTTAATTCACCACCACTAATAAGTATATTAGGCTAAATTAGGTAAAGTAAATCAAAGCATATAATAATGGAAAAGCTCCGTAAACATAGTCCTAACCAAACCTAACCCTACCTAATATAAGTTGTATCTAATAAATGTGGTAGTGAATGAACGGAAAAGGTCCAAATCAGTTGATGAAGAAAGAAAAGTGTAATTAAGGCAACAGTTAACTGATATACAAAATATTACATGGATACCATCAGTTTGTTGAATCGACTCGCTTCCTCAACACCCTAAAATATAACTAGTTCATAGATTTTATGTAGACTAATAATTGCACATTGATGCTCTCAATTTAATATACACTTCAAAGGCTACCAAACCAATGCTGTGAAAATTGAGGACTCCTTTGGTTACTAACCACCTCAGGATCTAAAGTACCTTCTCTCCTTCGAACAGTCTTGAAAACCTGACGAACTTGTTGTCCATGATGGCCTTGAACTCCAGAGGCCTGGCGACATTGTTGAGTGCCATCTCTTTGGCTAGAAACTTGAGCATGGCTGAAGCAAGATCGTCAGACGGTATCTGCACTGAAACATCAACATCTCAAGCTGGAGTTTATGCTGGAGCAGAGCTATGTTACACCACGAAACTCTAGCTTTACAAACGCAATACTTACTGTCTTTCTCGATGAAGGCGATTTCTATGCTCTTGCCGTTGATTTCCTTCGCCCCTTCTATGGTCTCCGGGTAGGTCGGACCCATCATTCTCCAGCCTCTTCCTTCATACGTCTGCTTGTCCGATCCTATCAGGAAACTGGACATCAACAAAACACCTACTTGAATGTCATCAACTGCACACTTCCAGTCTATGCAGCTTTACAATGACCATTGCATAGATTTAGCAATAAATGAAAAACTTATGATCAAAGTTTAAACTCATTTTGCTTGTAAAACATTTTAATTTGAATTAGACCATTGTGAAGTGTAGCTGTTTTACCATTAACATTGATCAATTTGCAATTACAGTAAAGGTTTTGGGATGAAGGTATAGGTTTTAAAAGAAAACAAGACGGTGTTTTTAGTTGAATCCTTCTTCACTTCCAAATCTATTTGTATTTCGCATAGCTCCTATTACGAAGAGTTTACTCAGAGGGCGGGCATTGATTGCGCCAACTGACCTGAGTTAGGTAGTCGTTAATTCTTATTCTTGAATTGCGCCAACTACTCCAGGGAGCCACCCGATAAGTTCATTAACTGGGCCGCAAGTGGTAGCCCTCTTTCTCTTTGGCTGTATAATTTAGTAGGTTAGGTTAGGATAGGTTAGTATGACACGTAATCAAGGTTATTCCTTCTGCCGACAACTCATCCCTACCAGGCTTGGGCTTGGCGTAACTAAGGAACATTTTTGGGACCCTTTGAGGGCTTGGCGCAATTGCACAACCTAATCACATTACCAGCCTGCTGGTTGGTATTTATGACCTATAAAGATCTTCCATGATTCCCTACTCTGCCTGCACTCTCAACTGTTACTAAATGTCTTCCTACCTATCTAGTATCTATGCCCCAGAAATTACTTACTCACGTTCCCAAGGGCCTACGTTTACCTTATCCCTCATCTAGCCTACTTGTATCTGATGTCGGGCAGTCCCTTGTTGTCCATGTGGTCTTCCTGGATACTCTTCACCCTCTTCATACACGCCGCGGGCCATTCACATATATCCGTGTCCGTCCATGTCACCACAACGTACTGGATGGGCAAGGGAACTGCTGGGAGTGGTTCCTTGGGTTCTCTCGCTTCCCATTCCTCCCTCTTTACCAGCACCAGACGGTCTGCATGCAGTTTCCTCTTTATTCTGTAGAGAAAGAATGATTAGTGTTGAAGCATAAACAAATATAATTAGCAGTTCTGGCGTCCACCGCTAAGAGCGCCGTGTAGTTAAGGTGCAAGCACTACGTTGCTACAGCACTCCTAGTGGTGGACGCCAGAACTTATCGCAGCACTGCTGTCGGTCTATATTTAATTCTATTTTTATATGGTGGAAGTAAAGTTTATGGTGGATTCTTTTAAATTATCGCCACCAAATGGCCAATGTAATACAAATCTATTAAACTACTAGCTGACCCGGCGAACTTCGTATCGCCTAAGTTATAGGTTTCCCCTACAGACCGATGGAAAGAAAGTACCGTTACGTTTAATCTTCAAGATGATCTCGTTCGCATCGCTCAATCACGTCCTGGTTGAAGTTCGTTCGCTACGCTCACTCACCTTTGGGTTGGAGCTCGTTCGCTACGCTCACTCACCTTTAGGTTGGAGCTCGTTCGCTGCGCTCACCTGCCTTCAGGTAGAACAGAACCAACTTGTTTAATTGAAACAGCTGTTAAGATTCATTAATTCCATTTCTCATAAGGTTAACATGGGAAACTCCAGAGCCACTGGGGCGGAGCCCTTTTAAGAATTTCGAAACGGGAAATAGTTTACGTCCGATTCGCATACCTACAGAATTTACACACCAAATTTCATAACGATCGGTGAAGTCGTTCCGGAGGAGTTTGCAGACAAACACTGTGACACGAGAATTTTATATACTAGACTAGATTTGGATAGACTTACACGATACTACAATGTTTCATTTGGTTATTTCCACAATATTAATCGTGCACTAAGTATTTAAAATTTTGTTTAGGTTTCATTTGTAATGTTGTACTTAGAGATACTTACACAGTTTGTTCGGCAAACCTGGGCATGATTTTAGTTATTTAGCCTAAAACAATGGTAAAAAAACTATTTAGGTTTTACAAAAACGTTTATTTAATAACTGACATTTCGTTTTTAAATCTGTGTTCAGTCCGTTCACTAGTAACAACGTATCGAAACTGATAAGGTCAATTATTACCACGATAATAATCGCAAATCGTAAACCATTTTAGTATCGATAACGACTTTTTCTATAGACACAAATAGTTTAGGCAGATAATGTTTACATGTTCTTAGCGGCTAGGTTCAACCGTTACACTACATTTATTCTTGTATGCATTACACATTACTGTAGTTACAAGGGTGTCGTATCTGACTATTCTTTAAATTTGTATTTTAAGGCAAACGCATTTTTAGTTATATTTCTGATTCCGTCCAGCAGTTAATCAGCAAATCGAACTCTGGATTTATCTATGACGTATAAAGTGTTTTTGTTCAATGTTTGCAGTACACTATACGTTTTAATGCAAACTATATATAAATGACGTATTTAAGGGCAGATTGTGTGTCTCTCCATAGCTCTTTGAATTTTTTGAGATACAATAATTTCACGTAAATGTTTGCCATACAACACAAAAATCATTGTTTTAATTTCGGAGTTGCAAAATATACGTTGAGCATAAGTAGACTACAGATAGCAGATGTTAATTAGTTTGAAATGCGAGTTTTGTTAAGGGAACTGTCCTAACTCTGATCTTGTTACTATATCTTTAACCATTTGTTGGATGGCATCATTAATTTATAGCCAAATAAAATGAAATTTGATTCTAGAACTAGTTGAACTAGCAACCACAATTAAGGCGAACTCTTTAACTACACAGATATTCATGTTCCTCGTCCGGACATGAATCAAATTCAACCATTCCCCGGTCAAACATGCCTACTAGAATGTCTATAAATAATTTCCGTAGATTAGTTGTTTAGTGTCACCCTCCAACCATACTTCCTCATGCACGGTCGGTGGTGGGTATACATGAATGATTTAACGGAATGTGTGTGTGTAGAGGGGTGGGCTATATTGACTTGGGAGACTGTGACTACGGCGCAGGCGCTACTAGACACCCACGCTCGATATTGTACTCCACGTACAGCCTCCGCCTCTCGTCTGCCTACAGGTCGATATCTGGGAATGCACCGTGTAATGATCCGTAGTCTTGGAAGTCTTGGAAGTGAACCTCCTTTTGGGCTTAGGCAGTAATGTACCGGTAAAGTTCTCGGCGAACTAAAGATTGCTGGTTTTGATTTTGGGTATGTCGATTTTGGGTACGTCATTGGGCTGTCGGTCAATGGTGCTATCTATACAGGGTGACCGTTAAGTCTTAGGACGACTTTATAACTTTTAAACGACAAACGATATCACAACCACATTTGGTATACCGTTACTGGAAATTGTAAGCTACTTTTCTGTGTACATGGTGGTCGGATATCACCTTTGGGGGACGGCCCGTCGGGGGTCAGAAGAAAATCTTCAATGACAGCCTATGTTGAGTTGTACATCATTTAAAAGGTCTACTTCAACTGAAAACAATGCCGCAAACCGCACTTCAAAAGGTTAATACTGCAAAAAATGGCAGATGTTCAAAGATTTTCAAAATTAGCCAATTTCTTTAAATTAAAACACTTTTTTAAATCTTTAAACAACTGTCATTTTTTAACGGATGGTCCTTTTGAAGTACGGTTTGCGGCATTGTATTCTACTAATAAATACCTTTAATTTGATGTGCATATCAACCTATGCTTCCATTCAAGATTTACTTCCGACTCCTTGTGGGCCGTCGCCCTGAAGAGTTATTTGGATCACTGAATGTGAAGTTATGGGGATCATTTTAAAGGGAATTTTAAGCAAAGATGAATGCCGCAAACCGTACTTCAAAAGGACCATCCGTTAAAAAATGACAGTTGTTTAAAGATTTAAAAGTGTTTTAATTTAAAGAAATTGGCTAATTTTGAAAATCTTTGAACATCTGCCATTTTGCGCAGGATCAACCTTTTGAATTGCGGTTTGCGGCATTGTTTTCAGTTGAAGTAGACCTTTAAAATGATGTACAACTCAACATAGGCTGTCATTAAAGATTTTCTTCTGACCCCTGACGGGCCGTCCCCCAAAGGTGATATCCGACCACCATGTACACAGAAAAGTAGCTTACAATTTCCAGTAACGGTATACCAAATGTGGTTGTGATATCGTTTGTCGTTTAAAAGTTATAAAGTCGTCCTAAGACTTAACGGTCACCCTGTATAATGTGGACGTTAGGTACTGAAGTAGTATTGTCCGGGTTTGGAAAGTTCCCTCCTTCGCATAATAACACTGCAGTGTACAATAACACAAACATAAAATCCATCTGATGATACTCAGGTAGTGGCAGTGCGAATGTGAATCGATTAATCGAATAATGAAGTTAATATTTGAAGAACTGTTCCTCTAATTAAACAAAGTCTAGTAATTATAATTTTTCCTCCCTCTTCCAGAGAAATTGTAACTATTTGAAGAACTGATCTCAACCCATTCTAGTCGCTGTTTCACACCCTACTTTTAGTTTAAAACAATATTACGCCACTGCTTAGCCATACACTAGTTTTGTCATTGTACTTGACATTTTTGCTCCAAAATGATGTCTCAATTCTCAAGAAATTTTAATTTGTACTTATTTTATAACTGTTAAACACAAATACTCCACAACCAGACATATCCAGTTGGCTACATAAACACAGTGACGTCACAGCTCAGCTGATTCGAGCGTGTTGGAAACTCCCCGGTCGACCTCTGTCCTCTTATCACCACTGATAAGCTATATTTAACCGCCTGACACCCACTAATCTCTGATAACACTAATGATATCTAGCCAACAATGGTTATCACTTGAAAATATTTGTCAGGTGATAAAAGACATTAAGTAATCCCCTTGGAGTGTTCGATAGTGTTGAATACTTCACTGTTATTTCGAATCACTCTGTTGCAGTTTCTATTGTTTTAGAGAATATTTTATCGTTTGTTATTTAGACTTTTCACACCATTGAGTTCCTCGCCCGTATCGGATGCAGGACAGACCTCTTGTAATTTTGAAACAGAAATGATCGGTTCACGTTCGTTTACTTAAATTTGCTTAAGGCCTTTAAAATTAAACTATAATCTCAATTTTGTGTTAATGTTCTTGTGGTCTATGTGATAAAAAAAATCATTCACATCCAGGAAGGTTTCCATATAAAATGCTTTGGTTAGCTAAAACCATAAAATTACAACCTCAAGGTAATATTGAGGTCTCTTAACCTTGTGTGATATGCTTTTCTACCAGGTTAATCTTATCATTTACACCCCTCTGCAAGATAAATTCCAAACTTATCCTTGGAGCTATTGGATTGCAAATAACCAAATTTCCTCAGTGACTCTTTGATATTCGCACTTTAATATATAGACCCTACCAGCAACAAAGGTAATTGCGTGCTATTGCTTGAAAGCTGCTCGAAAACGGATTTCAATATCAAAGCCGAGTCTGGGGCAGAGGGTGGATTTCTAAACGGAAAATACAATTCACGTTTTTATACTCTGTTGTCACGTGCGCCTATCAATGTGAATGTGATTGTCACGATTTTGATTTTATTTTAATTTCAAAGTTTGAGACCAACTTGAGCTTCCTTACCACTGTCACTTTGACCGTAATGGATTTACTCTCTTTATACATCGCTTTAGGACTATCTTCACCAAAAATTATCTTCAAATTGCAAAATTTAATCTTATGCTTGTTTAAAAGTTGTATGTGGACTCCAAATCAATCCTCATCTATGCCTATTAAAATAGTTGTTGTACATGTATCATTGTTTCCAGTATAAGGGTATTTTACATATGTCATACAAATACACAAATACTGTATCGTCAAATCGTGTACTCTTACTAATCTTCATTGATCACTAACATCAATGAATCACAGCTAAATAACAGTGTAGGCAGTTCTATATAGTATATGTTTGTGGTTTTCACTTTAGTCACCAACAGCAAACCAAAATAGCCTTCCCGTTATCCATGATTTCCATTCGTATCGTAATCCTCTATAACGAGCTGCTGGTAGTTTCCCGCTCGATCTCCAGTAGTTTTCCCGCCAGTTTTCCGGAACTGCAGGGGTCTATTAGCTGATCTGTTGACCTTGACATTAGATAACAGCTGTTTAGAACTCGATAAACTTTGTATTTTGGACTTGGATTATCACAGCCATGTGGATTTTCATTGTGATGCAGTGACTAAAGATAACCTAAGTTGGGTTTCGTTCAATCCTATTTTGTTTATCGCAATTAGTTAAATACGCTGGTTTTAAACTATTTGTACTAGTTGCACAGATTTCACATCAAGCTTCGGCATATATTTATCTACAGCCCAACTCGGCTTATACGTAAACAAAATTTGCTTCCCATGTATTTCTTATGGGATTTAAATTTGGTGTTTCTTTTCCAAATTCGTTTGGCTCTTATACCCGACCGATTTCCATGATTAAGGTCTCAAATTGTAGGTATCACACACAGATTTCACACCAAGCATCGGCATATATTTATCTACTGTATTCCTCGACCAAAAACACTAATTTGCTTTAATTTAAAATTCTTACTTCAATTTAAGACGTATTCCACCAGTTATAATACTTATACAACCCTATATATTTTGGTCTAAGAACCTTAAATGAAATCCTGGCTTTTATTAAAGCTATTAGCTATTCAAATCGGACGAGTTTCAAGCAAATGCAAGGGTATGTAACACATTTTCTTTACACTTTACAAGTTCCAATTCCATCCCGCTAGTCTGAGACAAAGCTTTGCCGCCGAGTAGTCCTTGAGGATGTCCTATAAAGATTGCTGAGACCAACCCTACCAAGGGACTTGACACACTTCGGGTCTCTCTGGCCATGGAAACGCCAAATAAATTTGTAGAACCTAGTTCAAATCATTCAAATAATTACGACACCCCGTTGTTCGTAAGTGATATTCTGATAGTTAATTTCGAAAATGTTTAATTTTATAAAGTATTTAAATGATAAAGCGATAATTTGTGATTTTGTTATGTTTACTATCATTAGTTGTTATTCTGAAATCCCTTCCCTCTTGTTCA